CTTCGCGCGAAGTACGTGGCCATACCATCGGAGACGAGATTCTCGCATTTTATCAACTATGGAAGCTACGCCAAACTTCTTGCGTATGTCATCGTTGCAAATCCGATCCATGCGGGTGACACCGGCCGTCCAACGTAGCATTTTCATCTCCATCACACACGGCTTCGACTTCCTTGGTTGCAGGCCAGCACTCAGCCCCGTACAACGCTACTGGTCTGACCACAGTTCTATAAATCTTCGATTTGAGGTGCTCCGGTATGGTCTTGTCACACAGAACTCCAGTCATCGAGCGCCATTTCGCCCATGCTGCACTCACACGAGAGTTCACCTCTGAGGTCAGACTGCCATCGGACACATTTTTGATCCAAGACTCTTGTGCGTGTGAGCTCGATGCCACTGGTCCTAATGGAATCAGACATTTGTTCGGTCGTCAAGCATTCGGTTTTCCCGATTTTCAACTTCAGTCCTGTACTCCAGCCTAAAGAGCCGCGTGCGTGCAGCACTTCTGTGCCTGAAGGTGCACGCACGCGGCTCTTTGGGCTGGAGTACAGGATGCGCACCCACTCAATAAGCTCTTCCGGAACGCCGTGTTGCCGCAAGGCGTACCATATAACTTCACGCGGAACACGGTCGAATGCCTTTTCTAGGTCCAGAAAAGCTAGATGCAGTGGTACTTGCTTCTCACGATGTCTCTCCAACAGAAGACGCGCGGCATGTATGGCGTCGATGGTGCTACAGCCTGCCACAAAGCCGCACTGATTGATAGAAAGCTGGACGATTTCGCGAATACGACTGTCAACAATACGCTCAAAGATCTTCATACTGTGTGACAGCAGGCGAATTGGACGGCAGTTCAAGCTTCTTGGGCGTCTTCTTCTCAGCAACGACCTGATTGAGGAAATTCGTCAACTGTGCAGGGTACCAGTACCGTGCCTTCCACAAGTCGGCTGCCACGTCGTCAGGTCCTGTTGCTTTGCCTGACTTCATCTTTCTGAGAGCCGCCTTCGTCTCTTCTACGGTTACTTTCTGAACGGGACCGTATACTGGGACGAAAGGGATGGCCGGGTGCGCATACTCTACGGTTGAAATATTCTCAAAGAAGTCGTGCCATCGCCTCAGCACTCTCTTTCGGTCCATCAAAAGGCGGCCATGCTCGTCGTTAACGCCAGGGAATTTCTCGATATCTTCGGTCTGACGATGCCGAGCTTTGGCAAGTCGGTAGAGGGGGGCGAGCTGCCAATGGCACCGCGTGGAGGAGCAGACTTCACCACCACTTTGTGCATCTAGATACTAATGTCTCCGATTCTCAGTGCTTTTGTTTGATTGGTTTGGTAAATGCTCATATGGGCTCACATACTTATTCGGTGAAATTCGCATAACACACAAATATAGCTACATCCTTAAACCCTTACCCTTGTGGACACAGCGGATACCTCCACACACTTCAACACCAGTTTGCCAGCCAGTGAAGGATAGGAGGCCTGCTTGCCTTCTCTCGGATCTAGTTCGGACATTCACCAACGAATCGTGCGTGAAGTGACTATATACAAAACAATCTCCGCTACTTAGTTCATGCTGTAAAAACTGCCTTATTTCAGATGAAAAGTATCGCCACAGACATAGGCGTAAACTATAGTCGAACCAATGCTCCCCCTGATATCTTGGACACTTGGATTTTTATTAAAAAACTCGGCTCAATAGAATTACAAGAGGTGAATAAACTAGCTGTCCGTGTCGATTACTATGGAGAAACTATGAAACTAAGCGAGTTAGACGGAATAATGGACAAGGTATGATCATGTGTTAACCATTATCTTATTGTGAAAATGGAGTTAGTCCAGTCCCCAGTCCCGTAACACACTGTGTCAAATACACATAGCCATACTACTGAATAGCGCATTATGCGTGGTTGGATGTCAGCTTCGACGCTACTCGGCTAGGTGGCGGCACTATGCGGCGGCACTCAGCGATATAAGGCTACTTTGTGAAGACGTGAAGGTTCCCATAGTTCTGGTGGGTCACTTGAACCTATTTGCACGTTGACAAGTGGTTACAGGTCTCAACAAAGTGGGATGTGATGGTTGAAATAAACTTTACGGTTGCTCACAATTGTTGCCAATTCTTTCGAATTTCAAATTTATCTTTCTCATGTCAGAATCATGTCGGTTACCGTTGGACATGAGGACTAGAGGCTTTGAGTAGGGGTTTTGAGAACTACGCATCTACAGTCATGGAGCTGAGAGTCCCAACTGATGAATAGGTCTCACCCAGATTTATGCTTTGCGAAGCTCTTTGGAGGCCAGTGCAAGATGGATGGTCGGAAAAGTTGGCCCTATATGGAGAAACTCACTGTTATTGATCGGAGCCCGGAATAACGTTCCACCTTTTGTTCACTGCCCCTGCATGTTGTGGAAGTCAACCTCGGTTGCCGTGTAACCTTGTATGAAGATCTCCACGAGTTGCGAGTACACCATATGCACCAAATCAGTAAGGCAGTCCTAGCTAGCAGAATAGAGTCTTGCTCATCCAGTGGATCGAACCCCTGCCATATCTTCAGCTTCCGAGTGACTAGCGACGGTCAAACCAGCCAGTTGAGATTCTGACCTGCTCACACTGAGAGTTCCCCAGAAGTAAATGGGGCGCAGCTGCATGCTTTAGGCTAGAAAGACGATAAAAATGGTACACTTAATTGCAACTTCCGCAGAATCGAATATTAAGGTCAACTGGACACAATACTTGCTCCATGTAGCGCCGTCGGCCACTCACGGCTATGTACTTAATGATCCATTGGTCGCAATTCTGGGACGTGAATACCTGGAGCAGTTAGTGACTGAAATGGCTTGTTCCGCAGAAACTTATGCTTTCTAATGTGATGCTTCAAGGTTAAACCAGCTTCTCAACGAAACCTCACCGAGGATCATAACAAATTATGTAATGGTCCACTATATCATGTCGTGGCTGCCATGGATTGGAAAGAAATACAGCGATTTATTGAACGTAAGGGGAGATTTTGCCCAGAATCTGATAAGAAACAGACTTGATTTCGACAAACGAGAACTATTGCTGAGGTCAAATACTTAGCTGAAAATGCAGTATTGAAGTACTTTTGAACGAACCACCCACCATAGACAGTGGTTGAAATACGGGAGACGTGCAACAAAATCGTCCGCGGCATTACTACAATCATGATTGCGCAAGCGCTACCGCATACCAGTTCTGAGGTCTGGACAAGGGACGGGAGGACTGTCCCATGGTCCCTGGCAACTAAGTGACGTCTATAATAGTTACCTTCGTATTCAATGTAGCTGAAAAGCAAGCTTACTGATCACACTGTTTTTGGGACCCTTAAAGGTTTGTTTTCAAGGTCTCAACTTCCAAATACATGGGAAAGGAGCTCTCAGCCAAATATTGGTTGTTTCAACACGAGATACCTGCAACAGAATCGTCCGGGGCAGTACCCGCGGCGCATCGCGCGGCGAATGATGCGGCAGCTCACGGACGTGCATTTGCTAGCCAATAGCTTTGCGATTGGAGCGATTGATTTACTACACCCGCAAAGTTTACCGGATTCCATCAATAATTGAAAATCTGAGGATGTTTTCCTCGATAGTAACACACAGTTCTTCGGCGGAACCAACTTCAGGAAATAAACAAATACAAAAGAAATCAAATAAGGCTCTTATTCGCCCTATGTTTATGTGGTTCACATGATTTACGCAGTCGTCAGCGTCAATATTCAATAGATCAATGGTTATTTTCCTGTGAGCTGCTGTACAAGATGACACACCATAGTAAGTGTTGAAGACCCTGATGAAGATAATGCTCTAATGATTTTTTCCAATCTCTGTGGAAGACTTGGTCCTGTGTAATATCAATCTTTACCGTCCCTTAAAAATCCCTATTAAACGGCCAGTCGCATGATTCGTCTTCTCGCCGCAACGATGTCGCAGGCCATCAGCTGCACCAGACGATTCTGCTGCAACACACTTTTAGGACTCCTCCAGCCTCAAAGGATTGTATGGGATAAAAACTAGCGTTTCGGGACAAGTCCAGTTTGCTGATTCGTTGTAATAAACCTTGAACCCCACAGGAGACAGTGGAGCATCCACTCTATGCTACTTGGTAGGGTCAGTTTGCCTGTCGACGAACCTCGAATGCGGAGTATGGGGCCGGAGACACTGGAAAAAGTCAGGTGCCACTGAGGCACCTTTCGGCCTCAAGTCCTTCACTTCCCTTGTAATGCTCACGCGTCGACGCGCTACAATTGCAACGGCGCTCCAATGCTTTAGATGCGAACGCTGCTGTAGACAAGAATTGATCGGCAAGGGCCTCTCGGCTTTCCAAAGAGTATAGGGGAGATAGGAGCGTACTCGTTGCTTAACCATACCGTCTTTGTTGAGTGGCACTGGCTGCTTGTGTTTCGTAGGGTATACAAGGATAGAACGATACGGAAAAAGTGTGTGAGGCAGAGCCCTTCTTCGTATTATCCTGCACTCCCACAGGGCTAGCGCCGATCGATTACCGCCTGGGGCTGCGTCCGCGTCTACAATCAGTAATCGACGCCCTTGTAGAGGTGACGTCGACGTGCGTCAGCGCGAAGTCTGAGCAGTGCCTACAAAATTTATGTTCATTAAACAACTGCCGACCTGAGCACAATTTTCAGTTCCTCTCTTCTCCATTTGGCAATCCCACATCGTCGTGGAATAGGAGTGAAGTGTGCTTCCAACTAACTGAGAACTACTACAAAGTACCGTTGTTGGTCACTGTATGCACGTTCCAGGTTAACAGAGGTCAGAAATTCGCGTTTATTCAGTGTGACCAACTTGACTCTCGCTGAGGCATGTACACAGTCTGCGACCCTGACGAAACGGCGGTTGTGAGAAAAGCAAAAATAGTCATCGATCGGAGAATCGCCAACCGCTAGTTTCGCCGAACCGCCGCGGTTCGGCGGTTGGGCGAAAAGCAATAGATGTGTATCGATTTCGCTGGCGAAAAACGCCACGGCGATCGAGCTAGCGTTTCGTCGAAGGCGAAAAACGTCGCGGTTTGGCGAAACGCCCGTCGATTCGTATCAAAACCCTTTCGCCCAACCGCCAGACTCTTCGCCCAACCGCCAGTCGATACGTATCGAAAGCTTTTCGCCGAACCGCCACATTCCAGAGAAACGCTGGACCGCAGACTGTGAACAATGCCTGACGTGTGCCTACAATATTCGCGATCAGGTATTACGGGTAGTTATTGTTTTATGGGTCAGTAGCTGATGAGAGACCCTCCAGTAGAGAGAAAACAAAAAAAAACCAACCTTGACAAGCTTCCCTCATGAATAATGTCAATTACGAGTTTTTCCGAATTGATGGCAAAACGACACACTGTGCTTTTTGTGCAACGCGTGGCTCACAAATCCTTTCTCTGAGAACAAAACGTTGTCCAGCACGAGGGGAAAAATTGGAATTCACCAACGGCAATCAGGGCACAGCATTGGTTGGGAAATCCCCATAGGGGGGGTCGTATTTGGCCGCCAGGAGAGGGGGGGTCGTAATGAGTGCGGTAGCCAGTATCGAGCAGCGCAAAGGTGTCAGTGTGCTGAGTCCTGTGTAGCGGAACTTGCTTTGTAGAGAACTCGGATATGTAAAAAAATAGTACAAAACTTTCATCCATCAAACTAATCCGAAATAACTGGAATTATTAATAAGTCGACAACATCTCGTAAGTGATGACTAAACAGTACAACTCATACTCTGGTTCGCTGCGGATGATGGGGCGTGTCCGCGATCGCGCTTGGCGCTGAGCCAACCTGTTTTTTTTTCGACAACGACAGGACTACCATATCGTTCGTATCAGACGTTTTCCAGCAGTTGGTCTCCTTTATCGGAATCAGCAATTGGCGGAGCACAGATCTGGCGGCGTCGACACGGACACGCTACATCATCCGCAAGGGAAAACACTGTAAACAAGTGCACGCCATTCGCCATGGACCTCCCTGAATCCTACAGACACATTTGCTCGCGTGGACAGACATTACGCACAAATTGCACCATCCCATCACCTCTGCGCGGACCTCAGTGCGCGGCGCATCCAAAGTTGGCGTGATCGGCGCTAAACGAACCATATTCTGCTCCTGCTCCACCACAGGATACGTTTTTCATGCGTTCCTGGTTATTCGAACACGCTCACTTGAAACGGTACACAGGAAACGGGTTTTTCGCGCAGCTTGGAGTACTGCGCAAGAAATCCCCATCGCCAGATCTCATGAATCCCGAGGACTTCAGAAACAGTTCAATAGGTTTTTAGAAAGAGCAAGTCTTCATACACTCGAATCCGTTCTCAGATTTGTGAAATGTTGAGTTACAAAAAAAATATATTGATTCAAACCTGTTCCTGAAATAAAATCCCTATCGAATCCCCAAGGCAATTTCTCTGTGATTTTTGCGACCTTCATGAACATTTTAGTACTTTTAGGAAGATCAAACCTTCCTCTACACGAATACGCTTTCCTCTTCCCCATAGGTCCGCTTTTGAGGAAGTTATGGTCCTTCAAAGACACCCTACTTGCTGAAAATTTGTTTCCCACGGCTGGTCCTGCCCAGAATTCCCTTCCTCTTGGTACCTCGGCGCCGATTCAAATTTGATTCAGTGCGCGCGGGAAAGTTATTCAAAGAGGTTACCTCGGCTTCGTTTAGGCTGTTATGCATTTCTTTTTGGTTTTCTTTTCTGTTATGACACTTTTTGTATTTTTTTTCTTTTCAATCACAGTCTCCTTTATTCGCCTAGAGTTTCAATCCTGCTTTATTTTGGATGCTTTTCGTCGCAGGTTCGAGCTCATAATATTTTTCTTTTCTTCTTTTTACAAACGGCAAAAAAAAGGGGGGGGTCGTACAGGCTCGACCAAAATCCCCATCGAATGCTGTGCCCTGACGGCAATTGGCCTGCGAAAAACTGGTGTAGAAAGCAGGGTTACGGTGAGCGATACATGACGAAATTCAGCACCAAGCATTTGCATCGCTGGTGGATTTATGCAGCGCCAAAGGCTAATGCCGTTTGCACTCCAGAAATTTCGGCTCCGAACCATTTTTGAAGTGCCTATGTCACCAAATCCGCTAAAAACTACCTAGGGGTGGTTTAACATCCTGATTAAGAATATGACATTCACTCTTGTCGCTGGCGCCAAGAGAGGACACTACGATTACCTCCTGGGCTCAACCTTAGCGGAGATCGTGTTCATCCATTAGTGCCAGCGACAAGAATAAATGTCACATTCGTAATCAGGATGTTAAACTACCCTATATACAAGTTTTTAGCGGATTTGGTGACTTAGGCAATTAAAGAATGAGCTCGGAGCCGAAATTTCTGGAGTCCAAACGGCATTGGCCAGCGGCAAAACACATACTGCCTTTCGAATTCAGATGCTGTTGCTGGCTTCTTCACGAAAAAGGTATCCGAAAGGATCATTGGTGCGGAACGACCGATGCTGTGGAAAATGGTCCTCTGGGTGGAGCACATAGAAGCGACCTATGAAACAGTAGGCAACACGCGCGGTAACCAGCGGTGTGATTAGTCCTCCTGTTACCAGCAAGGTTGGCATCGTGAAAGGTTGGGCTGCGTTTATATTAGGTTGGTGCATAAGTTTTTCTCCCCCCTAATTTGATCCTTCCGTATTTCGTTTGCATGGATGTTGGTATTTCGTCATCACGTGTGCCTAACTTTTACATGATAATCTTTTATCATGATCATTGATTAGTATGATTACTAGCTATCACTCGCTCACCCTGCATTTGCAGGCTATAATGCCGCACAATTACCAGGGTCAAACCATGTCTCAGTGGTGATTGTGCGTCATTGTAACCTTCTTCGGGTCCCAGCCCCCGTCCATCTGGAACGATGGAACCGACAAGCTGCCTGACGTTGGCGTCGAGAGTGGATGGATGATGGTGCATACCCCTAATCTTCAGGCTGATTCGCTATTGAGATATTTACAAAAAAGTCGGGGGAAAGAACTTATGCACCAACCTAATACTTTGCGGCAGCGTAGCGTAGCGATTCCAGCGTTTCACTAGCGTTTCGCTAGCGTTTGCAGCGGCGGGCTAGAGAGTATAGAAGAGTAGGAGAGTACAGAATACTCTCCTACGCTAGAGAGTATAGAAGAGTAGGAGAGTACAAAATACTCTCCTACGCTAGAGAGTATAGAAGAGCAGGAGAGCACAAAATGCTGTTCTACGCTAGAGAGTATCGAAGAGTGGGAGAGTATTTTGTACTCTCCTACTCTTCTACACTCTCTATCCCTGCCGCTGCAAGCGCTAGTGAAACGCTCGTGAAACGCTGGTAGCGCTAGATCGATACCCATAAATCCCGTGCCCTCGCTACGCTGGCGTACGCTAGCGTTGCGCTAGCATTACGCCAGCGTACGCTGGTGGCGCTGGGAACGCTAGATCCATATCTATCCTTTCCCCGACACTGCCGCTGGCGTACGCTGGAAGCGCTACGCTGCTGCAAAGTATAGACGCAGCCTCACGCGTCTGTGCATGTTCCATCTACTGGCGAAAGAGGTACATTCGTTGCGAATGCGCACCTGGTCCAGGAATCAGAACTGTGAAGAATTACGTACAGGAAAGAATTTTACATCGTACGAGAAGTAACGACTTTGCCCAGAAACCGGTACGCTTAGCAGTGGCTAAGGCAGTGTTCAGTCTTCGCGGGGCTGCGCGATCGCGAAGTCTGAACGCTGGATATGTAGTTACCAAAACTTCGCAATCGACGAACGTTACTTCGCGAAATCTGGTGCGTCCTCTCTGTGCACATGTCTTATGGTTCCGGGTCTGCGTTGGTTGTGTCGCGTCCATATGGTTCCAGATGCGTTTGAGGCTTGTAGTACTCTTGCAGAATTCTCACCTCCATACAACGCAGCTAACCTCCTGCCTATCTCGCTACCGGTCAGCATTTTGATCCACAGACTGCGGCGAGGTGGACCATTGGGCGGTATGTTTTCAACTGAGGCGAACTGATCTGCACATGTCACACATCACCCCGGTGATCTCTTTCCATCGTTTTCGCAGTGCATCTATTCTGGCTCGTTCCTCGTCGTCCAGACCAGCAGAACCTTGGAGGCGAGGCCCCAAATATCTTGAAAAAATGGTCTTCGGTATGTTCTCACCCCTGACTTGGATGGTGCCATCGCAATATCGCCATCGGATCGCAAACATTATCTCCAGATATTCTAGCTTCTTGATCTTTAGACCTGACCTGTTGCGGTTGAGACGTTCGTCCACACCTGGACCCGATGCTGAAGTCCCATTTTTCTAAAGCCTGCGAGATTGGTTTTGTCAGCAGAAAGCAAAGCTCACGGCATTAGGTTCCATGTTAATGACGAGATTGAAATGTGACAACATGAGCTCCAATCCTTGGTGAAAGCTTACATTCATTGGAAAGCTATTGGTAAACCAGCTGCGCCCCTCAGTCAACTGGTAGTGGTGGTACACAACAACTGGATTCAGTTGACAGAAGCTTCAGGCGCTTTATTATTACCAGTTTGGCTGACGCGCACTACTGCGCGAATGGTTCAGTCTGTGGTACTGATCTATGAAAGGATTTCTGTGTTGACCCCTAACGCTTGGCCTAATTCCTATGTTTCACTATTCGGCCAAGCGTTAGGGTCATTTATTTCATGATATTTCCATATTTCTCCTCTTTAATGAGCGATTGCCAATGTGTTTATCAGATTTCTATAAACACTCATCATTCGTTGGCGATAGAACGGCTTAGCGGTTGAAAGGTAACAATATCGAAATCATAGTGAAATGTGCTTAC